GTAACGGAATTTGGTATTATGTATGGAGTCACCAAAGTTATGGAGAATGGACTAATCCAAATAGGAAATGGATCAGCCCAAACTTAGTTTAACTAATTAGATTGGCCCTCCAATGCCCTGTTTTCTTGGGCAAGATATGCAAATTAAATACTTAAGTTGAGTACTGATAGGGAGAGGGCAAGATTGATGCTTGAGAAATGGAACAGTTGTATTGACTTCCAGTAGTTGAGCAGGCTTATCTGTGTCATTTGTTACATCCTCCAGAGTAAGGGTAGTCCCAATAAAGATGGGTTTTTTTTACCTAGACTTGAGCATATTGGGGCTCTTCTCACTGCAATATTAATGGCATTTTTTCGCAGAGCATTGAAACTCCTGAATGTAGTTTACAGATGTTGGACAAATTCAACTGTCACACTTGGTTGGATCAAGGGTCAACCCTCTATAGATGGAAGACCTTCGGAGCAAAACAGGGTGTCTGAAATTCAGCAATTGACAAGTACATTGTTTTGGTCACACTGTCAAGGGAAGGGAAATCCAGCAGATTTGCTAACACGATGGTGTATTGGCTGTTGAGATGGTTTCTTCTACAGAGTAGTTAGCTGGGCCATGTTGGTTGCCAAACCAGTAATTGATATTCTAGTAAATGAGATAGTTCCTAAAAAGGGGGTGGAACAGTTTTTAGGACCCGAATTGAAATCAACAATGCCTGTGGCCACTGAGTAGTGAGTTGGAGTAAATTTGACAAGGCTATTAGAATAACGTAGTGAGAACAGTATTATCAAGTAATATATATACACACATTATAGGCCTATCATATAAACCAAAGTATAAACGTAAATGTACAACTATTTTTTTTATGATACATTTGCTTTTATTAAAATAAAAAAGAGAGGATAAATAAGCTGATAATGGCACATTGAGCTACAACATTCAAATTCATTTTTTGTCCGTGGAAATCATTAACCAGTGGAGACGAAGAATTAAACTGTTATCAACTAACAGCAACTTAATGAAGACATTTCAATTTAAATTCAAAATGTGAATAAAGGAGAAAATATACAACCCACATTGCATTCTAAACATAGCATTATTAGAAACTTTTAAGTTAAGCGTGGTTTACATAAATTGCTAAAATTTAGCTGTAAGGCAGCAAAAACATGTAGCGAATTTATGGAAAATAGGCTTACCGTTTTTGGTATCAGACCATGTGCCAACGACTAATTTTCTGGATGGTATACACCCGTCCACGGTAAAGTCCATTGGCCCCTTTCCATTCTCTAAATCAGATGGTTTTTCATATTCATACTGCCACCTATTTACTAGCACATCACCAGGGTTATTAAATTGGCCGAGATATTGAGCATTATCTATTGAAAACAATTGTTACAACTCTGATGCATGATAAATAATGAATTCAAAACTTAAATGCCTTATCGGGTGGTTTAGGTATAATAAGCTTACAAGATTTTAACAGCCGTTTATTTCTTATAAATTCAGAACATCGAAAACAGTGTAATTATCAGATAAATTGAGTCTCATTTCTTTAATAAACAGGGCTCTTTTCCTGTTTCATGGCTTTAACATTGCCCAATGATGGCAACTGAACAACTGCAAAGTGTCGCTCGCTGCTTGTGTCTTACCTTTAATACACCTGCTTGGCGGCTCCCATTGTTCCTCAAAATCTACCTTGAAACACTCTTCATCAGGAAAAATAGCCCACGCGATTTTCTATAAAATGTAGTCAACATTATACTATAAAATGTTCTTTTAGAAGTAATATACTGACTTGATTCGGAAAAACGCATTATAAGGCAAAATCATAGTCTCTAAAATATTGAGCAAAACGCGTTTCTTGTTAGCCTTTATTTATGGTAATGCATTTGTTCGATTTCTGTGTGTATAACTACACAACAAGAAATTTTACTTAAGTATTTTGTTGTGATTTTTTTTTCTACAACAAAGTCAAAATAGACATAATGTGCTTTTAAAAAAAATTGATACAAATGCCAATGAAGCATAAACAATCTGATTCAATTTTGCTAGTAAAATGCATCACTTTAGATCCAATGAAATACAAGAAATTAAAGAGATTTTTACTAAGATATTAGATTCCCAATAACGTAAAAAATTCAAATTAAAGAATGTTTTAGTGCTTTTTTAAAATATAGTTATATAAAACATTATTGCATTAACATTCATAAAAGGTTTACAAAATGTTGTATTACCTGATTTAATGAAGCCTTAAGCCTTATGTATAAAAAGAGTCGTATTTAATTGATTTATAAAGTTAACAATTTACAATTAAACATACCTACGTTCATAAAAATATTTAGTCACTGTTATTCTTTCCACATCTAATTAAAAAATAGTGGGTTTTGAACTATAGACGAATATGGTGAATAGTGGAGAAAATTGGTATGATGTCTATTACTGTGCTGTTGATACAGGGGCTTTAGGATCCAGAATTTTTCAAACGGCGGGGTGGGGGCACAGCAGTTTCAGAATAGAGAAGTGAGTGGCACGTAACATTAATATGCATTGACATTTTTAAATTTTAGTGGCAAGACGAGGGGAGCACGTGCCTCCCAGTGCCCCCTACACTGGACCCACCCCTGTGTCATACTACTACACCAATGATTTGTGTACTTCTGATACCATACAGTACTGTATACGTAAAAATAATTTAATTAATTTAATTTTCTATGGTGAATAACAATTAAAATTACAGTTACTTCTATTTACAAATATAGGCCTAAATCATAAATCTACAAATATTGTTAAACAACACTATATAATTCAAATAACTGGAGACAAAAGCCATGAATTCTACGTGCGAAATTCTATAGTTTTAAAATAAAAGTGCTTGCTAGCGGCCATCTTTTAGTCGAATTTGCCAAGACTGTAATTCAAACATTAATTATTAAAAAATACCAGAAACATTTCAGAACTTTAGTGCACAGAACATTTTTTTGCATTTAAAACAAACAAATACAAAAATAAGGCGACGATAAATTCGCCTTTGATATAGTTCGCACTAATTGCATCCGCTCGAACTGGCATCTGATCGAACTGACATCCGCTCGAACTGATTTCCGCTCGAATTGACTGGCATCCATTTTAATGTTAAACTTAGAAACACTAACATTATTGAAACGAATATTTAGGCTAATCCTGTAGTCTTTGTCACGCTTGACATGTGATGAATATACAGTACTAAACAAATACTTGGAAAAATACAATTTAGTTAAG